GGTATCGAGATTGCTACAAAGGATTCGTGTCGCGGGTTTTTATAGATTTTCAAGCGAAAAATAGCAAAAATAGAAAAATGCAATTCTCTGTCCAGAAAAGCAGTTAAGAGCTCAAATTTCTTTCTATGACTCTTTTATATGTCTGTGATATTCATTCAAAGTTTCACCTTTACACCTCATTCCGTTCCCGAGTTATTGAATTTTAAGTTTTCCATAGATTAGCCCTTTGATAAGCTCACAATATAATGGCCTCCAAAAAAACATTTCTGAAGCTGTACATACTGAGATCTCTAGAGACCTCCTTGAAAATCGGAGTCACAAGACATTGAAGTTATATAATTTCGACTATTTTCCTGTGTGTGCCGATCAAATCTATGTCATTTACGAAAGTTTCAATAGTTCCAGTAGAAAACTAACGATTTTGGAAGCCATTATATTGTGAGCTTATCAAAGGGTGAGCCTACAATGTTGATTGTAGAATCTGAAAATCAAATAAGAATCATATGTCAAATTTTTGAGACAACATTTTTCGAGCAAAAATTGGTCGGACTTGGATGAAAATCGAAAAAAGACTCCAAAACCTTTTGTCTCTAAATAACATCAACGGCACATTATCTGGTGCAGTTTTTGGACGCTGATTCTAATACTACCTTATTTTTGTTTTCGAATGAAGTCTTGATGCCAAAAATTTCAAAAAGCTGAAAAAACGATGTCAGTTGGACGTCTTGTTTTGAACTTTTCAAACTGTCCCAGGGGTTTTAAAACAAAGTATTCTATCTAAGTTTGTAGAAAATTGAATTTCCTATCTGATGTCACCTTCATATTTCTAGGGAAATTCTGTTTGGATGCCCAAAAGTGGGTTTTCGTAGAAAAACTTTGTATGTGAAAATCACCATCCTTGATGAATCTCTTACAACATTAGTATTGAGTTTAGAAAAAGAGAAGGCACCTGATTCTGTTTAGTTTTTGATGGTCTTTCGAATGAGACATTGCTCGTCCAGAACGGATAAAAAATGACGGAGGTATATCGAAAACATGAGACAATGCTCATTTTTGCGATTATTCGATGCACCTCATTTTGAAAACTCTGTAACTCGATCAAGATAAAGTGTGGAAGTAAATAATTTTTTTCGTCACCCCAGTGTTGATTATAGAATCTGAAAAATCAAATAAAAATCATATGTCAAATTTTTGCATGTTACGCACTGTCTCAATGGGCGGGCGAATCCTCGCTTAACTGATGCCTCGTGAGGCCGAATTACATCCTGTCTATTATGAGTGTATTTTATAAGATGCGGAAGTATAACAGTATACTGTACGGGACGAAGGCACGGTGGCGGGGTGTGAGCATGAGATGATATCGATTCCAAGCTACTTACGACATGTTTGAATTGTCCAAATTTACGTGATGATGACTCTTAAGTAAGGGCGAAACGATCGCCGTAAGTAGCTTTGAATCGACATCATCACCCTCACCGTCCACTCACCTTCAACAAGGTAAGACTTATCACGTTTTTATCATTCTTTTGCAGTTTTGTATAAAACACGTGCCATCCAACGGTTACTTTTGTGCCCGTTTTATTTAGTTTGCATGTTGGTAAAAGATAAGTTTCATGTTGCCCTGTTGAATTTGTATGTGAAGTTCTTTCCTGTTGACTCATATGATAATCAGATTTATTATAAAGGGACAAAATCTGAGTTGCATGTATAAAAACTCATACGCACTTTGTATTTTCATTTTGTTACAGTAAAATTAAAGGAGATGGCTGAAGTTAATGTATGCACAATATGTCAAAGTTCTCTTCACGATGGTAGGGATTTTGTAACAACAAGATGCCAACATATGTTTCATACTGAATGTATTGCCTCAAATGCCAGTGCAAATAGTAATAAATGTCCAAATTGTCGAGCATCAATTCCATCTTTTCGCAAGATATTTACGGGTTTTCAAAGCACAACAGAAAAATCGAAAGAAAAGATTATATCAAATGAGGTATATCTGTTTTTATTATGAAAACATTTCATCACATTTTCATCTGTTTTTACTTGATGGTATAGGATGATGAAGCTGGTTGGAATTGTCCAGCATGTACATACAAAAATTCTAGCAATATTGATATATGTGAGACATGTCGACAAGGTATGCGTGTTCAAGCAGACAAATTAAAACAGAATAATGACATTCCAAAACCTGTCCGAGAGGAACCAATAATTAAACTTACATGTAATACTCCCTTTTGCAATACGCATGATCCGTCAATCAATATTCTTTGTGACAAATGTATTTCTGCACTGTGTGTAGCACCATTCAGTTCAGAAATTTCAGACAATCCTCAAAGAGCAATACAAACTAATCCCTTAGTTCCACCTTATCGATCGTTTAATACAACTAACTCAATACCGATAGAAATTGAACAAATACAGACCTATGAGACAGAATGGCGTTGTGAATATTGCGATTATCCAGATAATTTAAGTAGCAATGAGCAATGTATCTATTGTCAGCAAGGTCATCGACCTAAACAGATTACATCATCACCGACTAACTTTTGCAAAAGTTCTATTACGCCTCAAACTGGTGATCAGCAGACTAAACAAGGTAATGTCTTATTTCAGTCAGTATTTTCTCCCATCAGAGGTAGATAGTCGGTTTAAAAAAGGAAACTAAACTATGATTAGTGATGTGAGCCGATGTAGAAATCGATGACTCAAATTCAAAAAAGCCTGATTTGAATAGATTCTGGACATAAAACAGGCAGAATCGGTGATACAGAATTTAGCTTTTAAAGTGATATTGATAAGCATAAACAATATCTGACAACAACCCGAGTCGAACAATCGCACACTGAAGCCTCATCAGATTGTATTGCGATGCGTAGGATTCGTTAGTGATTCTGTCAACCGGATTCTCATAAGGTTTTTTTTAAGACTGTTGGATCCTGGAAAGTACGATTGGATCCGTTTCGGATTATTCAACCTAAGAAGTAGCACATAGAAAAAATTATTTGACACTCCTAAAACATTTAGAATCAGCAAATTCATATAAAACATTTACTGGAAAAAAATCAATATGGGTCTTCGATTGGAGAACAAGAGGACAGACAAAGTACTAAATCAGGTTTGTACTGAGTAATAATCTTAAGGGGGGAGAGGATGGGTGGGTGAACGCCTACTCCCCAAGGTATATATGTATTTTGACCAAATTGTAGAGGAAGTGAAACTGCACATGTCCTGAAATATTTTCGGCAAACGAACCTGTTTGGCAAAGTTACGGCTTTTATAAGTTATATGCCTCTATAAACCACCTATTGATATAGGATTTCCAAAAATGTTTTAAGCAAAGCTTTATACTTGATGTTTTGGAAATTCAATACAGTAAATCGAGTCATATATTAAGCTTTGCTTAAAAAATTTGTGAAAATCCTATACCAATAAGTGAATAAAAACCGTAACTCTGCCAAAACACGTTCGTTTGCCGAATAACTTTCAGGGCATGGGGCATGTGCAGTTTCACTTCCTCTACAATTTGGTTAAAATACATATATACCCTGGAGTATAACCCGCTCCCTTAAGAGAAACTTCGCCAGTCGATCGAGTATCTTGCCAAAGACTTTTCTCTAAAATTTTGACCCTTCAAAATCCCAGTTCTCCAATTGATGTGGGTTTTAAACAGTTACTGCCTACTTCAGAAAAATTAAGCGCTATGTGATTTTGTTCACTTTTATCAGGCTTTCGAATGACCTATTGTTCGGACAAAGCGGATAAAAAAATGGCAGAGTTATTGTCAAACTATCAGAAATGGCTACTTTTCGCAAATCGACGATGGTACTCATTTTATAAATTCTGTAACTCAGTCAGAAAGTTTTTTCATATTTTTCATAACCCCAGTTTTGATAGTAAAATCCGAATATGAAATAAAAAGTATATGTCAGTTTTTCACTCGTTACCAGTCTTTGGCAAGATACTCGATCGACTGGCGAAGTTTC